GTGCAAGCTAGACATGGTTCCATTCATCACAGGCGCTGCAACAACTGCAACTAAAGTACCAGCACCATTCGCCATGGATGATGGGGGAGGATGAGGAGTAAACTTTGTGACGCTTAAAATGATATATAGAAAATATTTTAATGTGAACTTAAAACAAATATAAAATATTGCACATGTGATTACCCTTCATTTGAGAAATTTCAGGTAAAACACGAATATATGTTTTCACTTAATAAGAATGAATAGAAATGTTTTGAGAAATAATTATTATTGCTAGATCATTTTTATAATCTGGCCTCTTCTATATAAAAATTATTTTATTTGCTAGACATATATATCATAAGGAAGAGAATGTTTAATATATAAAGTTATATAGTTCATTTTGTCAAAGCGGATTGATTGTCAAACACTTGTAATGTCTCTTTCTATCATTGTATTTTATTTAATAGACAAATATATTATTATTTATATTTGTAGTTCCTTAATTTCTTTTTATCAAAACGTAAATTATTATTAAATTTTGGTTAAATTGAGTAGGTAATTTATTTGATAAGAATTAATCATATATTTTTATTATTTAAGCAGACATGATATATGTCATTCTCTGTTTCCATCCTTACATTTTGTTTAATTAAAAAATATTATTATTTATGCATTTTTTTACATTCTCATCAAAATGTAACTTATTATTAAGGGTTAATTGCATGATTGGTCACTGAGATTACAAAAAATGTTCAAATTTGGTCACTCGAAATATTTAAATCCATTGGTAGTACTTCAGTTTACTAAAACCGTTCACATTTGGTCACTCTCCGTCCAACTCCGTTAACTTTGGCTGATGTGGCAGTCAACTCTCAAAGTTGACCGTTAACTTAGTGACGTGGCAATTAAGAAATAATAAATAAAATAAAATTTAATCTATTTTAATATTCAACTCATTTTTATCATAAAATAAATAAAATTCCCATATCGCCCTAGACCGGCATGGAACAACAAACCCAAAATCTCTTGAGCTACTGTAGTTCAAATTACACCTATATTGCATCAAACCTTACCAATGTCCCTCACTATCCGCAAATTCTTCACATGGCCATATTTGCTCATTGCCTAGTCATAACAACACAAACGTTACAGTCGGAAAACAAATTGCATAAGTTCAGTAACATCAGCTAGTTCTGCAGTAAAATCGAAAAAGGGTTTTGGAATGAAGGAATGCACAGAAATAGGGTGGGAAGAAATTTCACCAATTCGTCACTTTCAAACTTTACCTTGCAAAGCGACTGATCGTCGGTGAAATGAGAAAGGCGACCAACGAAGATTATGCAGTAAGGGTCGCAGATTACCTTGGGGTCGCCGGAAGGTTCATCTGCAACTGCAAGCCAACAAACCATGAACAAGTGGAAGTTTTAGAGAGGACGAGAAATTAAAAGGAGGTAAAAGCGAGAAATAGTTACAGAGGCCGGCGGAAGAGCAGAGTTGGGCGCGGTAAACTGCTTTATGGAGAGAAATAATTACAGCTCTTCCTACTGCAACAAGCGCCCCTTTCAATTAAATTATAATAATTATGTTTATTTTTTATATTTATTTTATGATAAAAATGAGTTGGAAATTAAAATATATTAAATTTTATTTTATTTAATATTTCTTAATTGCCACGTCACTAAGTTAACGGTCAACTTTGAGAGTTGACCGCCACATCAGCCAAAGTTAAAGGAGTTAGACGGAGAGTGACCAAACATGAACGGCTTCAATAAACTAAAGTACCACCAATGGATTTAAATATTTCGAGTGACCAAACTTGAACGTTTTTTGTAATCTCAGTGACCAATCATGCAATTAACCCTATTATTAATGTTTGGTAAAAATGAGTATAAATACTAAAAGAAGAGAGAGAAAGCTTCATAAATAGATCAATAATATATTTTTTTGTTAGTAAAAAACAAAATGACAACTGCCAAGTCCGCTATTAGACGGACCACTAATCCTTACTTGCCATGAAAATGTATCGAGAGTATTTATCCACCTTGGCAACTTGTAAACTCTCCAAGTGCTTATGTGGCAAGAAGTTACTTTTGAATTGCCATAATAGATAGATAGATAGATAGATAGATGACTTTAAATCGTCCCAATTATAGTAACGACGAGCCCATAAAGACGTCTAATTACGGGGAGCAAGGATGGCAAAATTATTCATAATTACGATACCGGCTTGAATTCGATTGGATAGTGTAGACACCACATTTTGTCCGGATTCTTCATATACTTTAAATTGGGATATTTGGTTCACTTAAGTTGGGAAAAAATAATGAGTTTGACCTTGAATGATGATTAGAAAATTTTTGTGAGCAATGCACTTATGAAGCAATCTCTCACCAATCGTGGTTGTTTCGTATTACACAGGAATGCGATCTTTGATTCAAGTTTTGTACTTGATTATGCATTCGAATTGAGTGTCAAGCTTTGAATGCACAAGGAAAGTAGAAATCATATTATTGAAGAATTTAAAAGGTTTATACAATCATCTACCTTATTACAAGGTTCCTACATTCCTAATTGTCAATCATGTTCACAAATACAAAAAAAAAAAAAAAAAATTAAAAGGGCGGTAGACTTGAAGGTCCAAATCAGCAACCTGCAAAAGAAAAGAAAGTCATCTCATATCAGCCCACAGTTCAAAGACAGATCAAGCCTAGCACGATAAATTATATCCTTGATCTTCCTCAATCCTTTAGTCACGAGACTCTGTGAGGGGTTTCTTGCTATGATAGTAATGTTTGGCTCCATGTGCATCGGGGTTTGGCTATTTGACTTCATGCAAACTAAGCCTCAATTTGTTGGCAAAAGTCGACTATAGTGGTGACGAGATTCTACAAGTAGCATGATGTCGTATACTCATTACACCCTTTGACTATTAGCTCACATAATTCATGGACACCAGTAGGGTGTTTATCTCTCGATTTTAGCAAAACAAGTACACTCTCAGCACCAGTGGGTGCTTAATATAATCGATAGTAGCATGGTGTTTATAATCGCTCGACACCAGTGGGGTGTTCACATTTTCTTAGCATGACAATCTCATGGCTTAGCTTGAAAATAAAACTGGATTTTGATGGCTTTCATGTTCATAGAAGATAAATCCGTTTTAAAAGAAAAGAATCCGAAGTGGCATTCGTTATTTTGATAAATAAATAAAAATCATTGATGCGAACTCTTAATTCAAGATTGATACTATTCACACAATGCTCCAAAGAGGTCGAAAATTGAGATCTTTTATTCATGACGATGGAAGAAAAAGTAATACGACTTTTAACAAGTTAAAATGTCTCGATTGGTTGATGATAATCAACATCATCCATGCATTGAGGTTTGCCTTGTGGCTTGCCTAACTATTTTCTTGATTGGGCTGCAAGTTGTGGTTGCTCTCCAGCAGTGAGTCGTGGTTTTCTTCAAATTTTTTACGAAGCCTTATGGAAAATGCTCACATGTCCTTTCATTTCTTCAAGTGTCACTAACCTTCTTTTGATGAAGTATAATTCCCTCTATAATGACTCCGAAATGAGCATAACTTTGGATCCTACCGATGTTTAAGGATTTGAATTTTCCTTGAGGAAGAGCAATTTTGAGGAAACCTAAAGTTAGAGCTGACCGAAGAGTGTTCGATCCACTCCAAGTAAGATCAATGGCGACTACCAAAAATGCCGACGCGACGACATCGGACCCACGGAAGGACAGTTGCGACAGATAGGATAAAAAGCGAACTAATTAAAATAATCGTACACAAGTAAAATTTGAGCCCGGATATCATGGGTAAGAGGCGGGTATGATGTTTTTATTAATATTATCCAACCCGAATCTGTCCAATTATACATGTTTATTCAACACTTTTTACAAATCAGTCATTTTTTATTTGAACATATTTGGTATTCCTAGTATATTTGTAGTACGAGCTAATGTTCATTTTTATTATTTCTCTTAGTATTGGTGAATTATTATTTATAATTTTTCACTTGCAAATTGTTAATATACTTGTGATTTATAACAAAATAGTCGAAAAGACAAAGAAAAATTATTATTCGTGGATATCCTTGGATACTCAATATCTTATCAGACATGAGCATGCTTTTAATTTACAACCCGAATCTTGCATGAGCATGAGTATGGATAAAACTCAAACTAGTTATGATATGTAATGGATAGTCATTATATGTTCCCGATCTGACTCGTCGTCATCCATAAAGCTCTTTTTTTAACATTCGATCACTCCTTAAGATGATAAATCATGGTTGTCAAACCACTAATATGTCGGCCAACACAACCGGGTTCAATCAGTAATGAAAAAAACCGGTTGGAAGATCATTGATATGACGTAGTAGTCAAAACTAGTAAAATTTTGTCAAAAGCGCGAGTGGTCAAACTGGAATGATTAATTTTCTATCGCTAAATAAATGATGTTGTTTTGGTGAAATTATTTAACAAAAAAAAAGAAATTTGTTGGATTCAAGTATGAACATTTAGATGTTGATATTATTCTTTGGATATTGATGGTAAATGTTGCCTTTAAATATGATGATTTATCATTTTGTTTGTAATATGGTATTTAATTTAAATATGGATGTATGTTATAGGGAGATTAGTTCCTCGACCTCCTGATGGGTTTTCACCATTAAGCTTCATCTGAATAGTTTCTTAGGCTGATATAAGGCGGACCTCATTGCCCAAGGATTCAGTCATAAGTTTGACATTTACTACAAATAACCTTTTTTCGATGGATTCGCATGCAAACGGTTTGTAGTATTTTAGTAGTCACCTCTCTTTGAGAGTGGCCTTTACGACACTTGGATATTACAAATTCTTTTAACGTGGGGATTTGAAGGAAACAGTATTTATGGAATATCCTCCTTGCTATTTGCAGGGTAATTCCTTGTTTATGGACTTTGTCCGTGTCAACAAACAATTGGAAATGCATCGGCTTTTTTAGAACAGGTCCGAGTCAAATAGAAATGATTCGAAGCACTTCTTTTTACACTATTTCCGAAACCCAAGGACTCAATCGTATGGATATGTAAAATACAGGATTTCCAATCCTAGCAGGAAAATGAGGGAAACGGATACTCCTCTATGGTATGTCTCCTTCGCCACTCATTATATGGTCTCAAATAGGTGTCACACACATGGTTTGAGAAATTTTATCAGATTGTACGCCACACTGGTTTTACTCAGAGTACATGTGATCCTTCTCTTTTGCTTCGACGTACTGTCCATGGCACTATTCTTCACTTAATTTATGTAGATGATATGATTGTTACTATTAGCGATGTCAAGGGCATTCGGGATTTGACTACCTCACCTCGCTCGTCGTTTAACATCAAGGACCTTAGTGAGTTGGCTTACTTTTTGGTGCTAAAGTTCAACCTAATGTCACTAGCATTTCTCTCACCCAAAGAAAGTATATTGGAGACTTATTAAAATAGTCTCAGTTCGCCACTTGTCTTCCATGCTCCACACCGATGGAACAAAATTTGAAGTTTAGTCGTTATTATGGTGAGTTGTTTAACAATGGTACCTACTACATTCTACATACAAGTAGTGGCATTTTGTCATCCAGATCTTGCATATGTCATCCATATCTTCGGTCAATATATGTCAGCTCCTCACACTACCCACCTTCACATTGTGGCATTTTGTGGTATCTTCAGTCTACACGAGATGTGGGTCTCTTTCTTCCCTCGCGTGGTGCGCCGGTTCTAGAAGCTTATCTTCTGAATATCAGATTGTTGCATGTTAACTAAAGCAATCTTGACATTGGTTTCTTTAATTCCTTATGGCGAATTGATGGTGTGCACTGTTCGTCAATTTGGGGAGGCTATTAATGTAATTGACATAAGTAAAATATTATGTAGTAGTAGAGCTAGGGTTGAGCTTAGTAGAGAGCTATATATATATATATATGGTGACGTATTCGGCGCACCCACTTTTTTGGGTACACTCAGTGCACCCGCCTCATAATCATCATTCTGAACATGCGATTCATGTCAAAATGGTATCAATTGTTGCTTATGATATTATGAACAATAAGCCCATGAATTTGAAAAAAAATCATTTAAGATTTACTTTAATTTGAAGGATTTAGTATTTAGGGGTTTAGGTTTAGGGTTTAGGTTTACAGTTTGGGATTTTGCATTTGGATTCAAAATGGAAGGTTAAGGGGTTCGGGTAATAGATTGATTTGTTATGATTCTATGTCATATCATCATGTTAGATTGAGAATACTAATTAAAGTTCAAAATTTGATGTATTATGGACACTTTTAGAAACGGGTGCACTGAATGCACCCAAAAAAGTGAGTGCACCGAAGTAGCCACATATATATATGTGGGCTCTACGGTGCCCAGGGCAAAATCCGGGGTACGGGTAACCAGGGGAAGGAAAATTACCAAAAGCATCACGAAGCGTTTAAGCGTTTTTCATTGGACTTCAACCTAACTGTACCCGGTTTAATTATATCGATTAAGAGGTTAAACCCTATGGATACGACCCGCCGCCCTAACCAATTTCTAGTCCCTCATTCGTCTTGGAGGGGATGTCCCCTCTTAGTTCGAAGTTCGAACATAATCCTTTTATCATTGTTTCTGAAATCTGAAATCCTTTTTATCATTTGATCGACATTCGATTTAGCTCCCAATCCAATATCAAATCCCCAACATCATCATGTTTTGAACCCCAAATCTATGTATCCACGTTCGAAGAGAAGATCCCTTTTCAATCTAAAATCCCCACATAATCATCATTTTGAACCACAAATCCTTGTCTCCACAATCGACATTTTGTTCTTCGCCATTTTATTTCCGACCGGAATCAAAAATCTCCACATAATCATCGTTTCCTTGTATCCACAGTCGACTTTTTGTTCTTCGCCATTATATTTCCGACCGGAATTTACACAAATTGAAGATGAAATAAGCAACACAGTCTTCGACCTAATTGAGGAAGAAGATGAAGAAGACAAGATTTGATTCGAATCGGATGGAGAGGTCGCCTTAACTTGTGTTTATGTATTAACGGTACGTTTAGGACAAAGTCTAGTTGGGCTTTTAAATTCCCTTCAAAAGTGGGCTTGTGTACATGATCCGGATTGTGAAGAGGTTGGGCTTTTATTTACATCTGCGCCTGCTTCTGCTTCTGCTTCTAAATCCTGATCATGTCTTGCGTTCACGCAATTTAAACACAATTATGTGTTCCATCTTTTTTTTGGGATTCGGTAAATGGTAGCGTGTCTCTTTACACATTTATCGGTACGAGGTAAAAAACAATCCGCCCAATTTAACTCTTTATTAATTGCCCATATTCCACTCTCTCACTGTTTGCCCCTCTTGACATAACAAACCTCTTGTAGACTAATTAGAGGCTTGTGGTTGGATACTTAGTGAGGACATTTTTTAAATTTATGTTTTGAAACGAAAGTTAGAATTTCACTTTTGAAGTACTTGTGTACTTTACTTGGGCAAGTATTTTCAAAATGTAAAATTTTATCAGCGTATAGGTATGAGATTATTGTATAAGGTGTTTATGGTTAAGTTAATGATTACTGACTGGTTAGTGTATTAGGTTGTTGATGGTTTAGAGTATATGGTATATGGTATATGGGATGGTTTAGAGTATATAGTATATGGTATATGGTTTAGAGTATATGGTATATGGGATGGTTTATAAGGTCTTGAATTGTTGATGGTCCAGAGCATATTGTATTGATTGATTTGGCTGAGGGTAGGTGTTGTTTTATTTTTCTCGATTTTATATTGTCTTAACATCTTCTTATAAATGCTGATCATGCCTTATTATCAGGAAATTTAGACATAATTATTGTAGCATGTCTCTTTACACATTTATCGGTACGAGATAAAATGATTTGGTGTGTGCAAAGTAGGTTCTCATTAACGATTTTGCCATGTTGGTTATCCCGCCCATTAGCGATTCGCCACATATGGAATCAAAATTAGTTAGAGTTCTTAACTTCATCTTTCTTCATTTATTCTTTGACTTGAACCAACATGTCTTTGCTCCGAAGGATTTTGGGTGGTAGTGGCGTGCTAAAGACAATCCGTCCAATTTAACTCTTCGTTAATTCCCCCTTTTCTTTTCTTTTTTGGTAAAATAATTACCCCGTTTCCACTCTCTCAGTCCCCGCCGAAGTTGAAACAATCCCCTGTGATATATTTATCGTTCATTTTAACCCTTCACTTAATAAGAAAGCGAAATTATGCAAGATGGTCATCAATGTGATGTAGCTTAATTGGTTAATTGTCTGTTATTTGCTTAGTTAATAAAGTAGAGGTTTGTGGTTCGATACTTAGTGAGTATCAATTTTTAATTTATGTTTTGAAAAGCAAGTTATAATTTTAATTTATCAGCGTATAGGTATACGATATTGTATAAGGTGTTGATGGTTTAGAGTACATGGTATTGGGTTAGTGTATTGATCATCTCCATCCCTAAAATACGATATTGTATAAGGTGTTGATGGTTTAGAGTATATGGTATTGGGTTAGTGTATTGATCATCTTCATCCCTAAAATTGAACAACAATTTCTAAACGAGGTCCCTACCGCCACATCATCAATTTTAGCAATTCATCACTTAACAATTTCTATTCATCTACATCCCTAGATTATGCTAGCAATTGCCAAGGTGGGTTCCATTTTATATTTCAAAGGAAACACTTATTATAAATTGAAAGTTGGGGATGGAGATAGAAGAAGGTGTTGTTGGTATACAGTATAAGGTCTTGAAGGTTATGGTATAAGGGAGGAGCAAGGTGTTGATGGTTTAAAGTATATATGTTATTGATTGGTTACGGTATAAGCCTATAAGGTGTTGTTATTGTTGTAGAGTATATGGTATTGATTGGTTCGTGTATTAGGGTTTGGTTTAGGGTTTAGGGTTTAGGGTTATGATTCAAGTTAGAATAACATAAACCAGATCAATAGAGTAATGTTGGTAAACGAAAAAGTTAGTTAATCTACAAATTCATACTATTTATAAAAGTACATTCCCATTTCCCACCGTCAATTCCTAAACTTTTCCCTTAATCCGATGGTGAAATACCTTCGATCCTCGTCGCGTGCATGTCACCCAATCAGATATTGCCGAATTCTGAAAGTCGCTTTTGCCCATAACCAATGCTGGCGTTACCAAGGCCGAGGCAGTGGTAGGGAGTGTAATTTTCAATAAATGTGAAGGGAGGGGAGCAAAAGTAATTACGAGACAATCTATAAATTCGTTAATCAGTGAAGGAGAGACCGTGCTCCGAAACCCGAGTGGCACTCATCTCCTGCTGCTGTTCGTTCCTCCTCCTCTCAATCCCTGAAAAGAACCCTTTCTTCCATCTTCTCAATATGAAACTCCGAAAATCAACCCCATCCGCCTCTTCATCCTCCTATCCCATGCTTTATTTTCGGGTGCAGTGGTAATGATGAGACTGCGTATTATTTTAGATCTCATTTCCTTTCATTATGTCATTGTTAGATCATGACTGTTAAACTAAATCCTTCGTTGTATTGTTTCTCCTTTTCTCTCCATGCAGGGTCTTTGTTAGAGGCAGGGAGGGGAGCAATGACAATAAGTCGCCGTCTGAATATCGCCGAAAGAATCATCACATGTTGTTGCGATTCCATAATAGGTGTTGTGGAACCCTACGTCATGTGGTGGTTCTTTTGCGCCATATTGACGCGTACTTGTTGATCATGCTCCCAAAATGTATACAAGATAGGAAAGTTGCCATATGTATAATAGGATAAAATAGGGAGTGAAAGTACAGCTTTTTGTTTTTGTTGGACTCTATGTAACATTTGTTTATATTTGTATACTGTTTTGTTATTTTTTCTTCTGCTTCTCTCTTCGCTTCCATGGCGGCTTCCAAAAGTGTTTGAGATCTTCTAAATCTGCGAGGGATCCTCCACTCCCAATAAAAATACTGTACTTTGTACTATTAAGCGTTTGAGATCTTCTAAATCTGCAGGGGATCCTACACTCCCAATAAAAATACTGTACTTTGTACTATTAGCGTTTG